TTAATGATTAAAGGTGGTGATAAGCGTACTATGTCATCATGGGTGTGTTTTGCTACGATTCCTCGCTTTTTTAGTTCAATTAAAACATCCCATGCATTAAGAATATCTACAAAAATATACCAGTAACTAATTTTTAAAAAAAATATTATTCTTTTATTACAAAGTACTTACTACTATTAAATTCTATAGCATTGAGAAGACCTTTTCCTCTTACATCTACAACTGCTTGATTTGATTTTAAATCCTCCAAACCCTTTCTAAACTTTTGCCCCATGTTGAAAGAATTATTAATTATATTTTCCTCTTCCAAAACATCCAGAGCAGTCATAGCAATTTTAGATGCCAGAGGATTTCCTCCAAATGTAGAACCATGAGTTCCTTGAAAACGAAAAGAGAAACAACTGTTCATTAGCTGATAATTATTATGGTCAAAAATGTTCAAGATGTTGATGTTTCGTCACTGATTTCATAGAACACTCTTAGGGTTCATTTTTGGATTAGGTTAAATTTAATTCTTCTGTTTCTGATTCTGAGATGATATTTTGTATTTGATAAACTCTGAGAATGTCCACAAGACCGGAGAAACAGACTGAACCCATGTGTTGAGTAAAATGCAAAAGGGTAAAGGGGTGGATCTGAAATGACTAATAATCTCAGGGTCCGTACCTTCCATCTCCCAATAATTTAACGAACACTTTTTTATGTTTAAATTATTTCATATATTTTAGTAAGAAAAGTACCTATCTAACACTACACTCGAAAACCATGAGATTCTACGTACTTTTTTACATAATTATCACCAGTCAAACCTTAGTAAATACCTTCCAACTCAATTATTTCACTAGCGCTTTTTTATGTTTAAATTGTTTCATATCTTTTAGTAAAAATATTACTATAATTACTAATTACTATTTGACACCGCACTAGAAAACCGTTGACACCATGAGATTCTACGTACTTTTTTAAATAATTATCACTAGTCAAAGTTTAATAAATACCTTCCATCTTCCAATAATTAATGGAGCGCTTTTTTATGTTTAAATTATTTCATATAATNCTACGTGACTTTTTACATGTATAATAAATTCTCAAAGCTTGATAATAAATTCCATTTCCCAATAATTCCACGAGTGCTTTTCGATGTTGATTTTAAATATATTTTTTTTTATTTCCTTAATTTTGCCGCACCGGTACTTGGCCCACACTGGAAATATTTCCGAGAATGGGGTTTACTAAACGCCTATTAGGTCTTCCACCAGGTCTGGTCCACAAAATCGGCAAGGAAACACCAACTTCTTGCAAAAAGTTTTGCGACAGTTAGGTTTTTTAAACCAATAATAATTCAAGAACGTTTAATATTTAAAAATAAAAATGGTAAAATCTAATCGAACCTTACCTGGTTCTAAAACCAGCATGATGTCGTCATTAGCCAAGGCTGCTGAAACAGGATATAGTCCGCCCCCCAGAGCTTTGGCTAAGACTAAGATATCCGGTTTAACATTTTCATAATCACAAGTTAGTCTTTTTCCTGTTCTCCCTAGTCCAGTTTGTACTTCATCAGCAATCCAGAGAACGTTATGTTTGGTACACAGTTCCCGTACCCCTTTTAAATAACCCTCGGAGGGTACTTTTATTCCGGCTTCTCCTTGTATAGGTTTGACCATAAAAGCGCAAACTAGAGGGTCAATTAGGGCTTTCTTAAATTAAAACGAAACTATAATTTACTTACAAATATAAACTGAAATAAAATAATAATTAAAATAAAACAAATGTTCTCATGTAAACAGGTTTTAAATTCTCCAGTGAAGTAGTGTTTGAGTAGTGTCAATTTAAACATTTCGGCACTCTTCGTTCTTAAAATAGAGTGCGGAACGACTGGTTACACGGCTCTCACGTTTTCATGATGTTTTTGTACGAAAAGTTCCAGTTCATGGATAGGCGAACATTTTGGAAGAATTTTAAAGTAATTGTAAGAAAAATATCGGAATTAAAATAGACATTAAACGTTTATCCATACGTTTTTGAAAATATGTTCATAAAAAATCGTGTGGAGCTGCTTACCTCTAAAGCATGAAGGTCGTTATAGGGAACACAGCTAAAGCCTGGCATAAAGGGTCCGTAGTCTTCGAAAGCCAAGGGATCTGTAGATGCCGAAACAGCTGCCAAAGAACGGCCCCAAAAGTTGTCCGTGGCAAAAATAATTTTTGCCGAATCTTTGGGTATTTTCTTTTTTTTGTAACCCCACTTTCTTGATATTTTACAAGAAGTTTCGCACGCCTCAACACCTGTAAAGAAATAATATTAAATACAATAACATAATATCAGATGCGGAAATTAAAATAGTTTATAACGTTTTCATTCGCGTTATCTACACAATAAACGACACACTTTTTAATTATCTTTGATATGTGAACAGTAAACAAAGAACTGATATTAATCTATCATCTATTAGCCCTAGGTCAATATGTACAAAGCAAAAAAGTAATTAAATATCCGATTGTTTACCTGTATTCATAGGAACCATTCTATCGTATCCGAATAACTTGGTAATTTTTTCAGCATATTCTGCGAAAACGTTTGAATAAAACGCTCTGGAAACGTGATGAAGCTGATGAGCTTGTTCAGTAAGGGCTTTCACTAACTTCGGATGGCAGTGGCCAAAATTATTCGTGGAATATCCACTGAGNTATCGTATCCGAATAACTTGGTAATTTTTTCAGCATATTCTGCGAAAACGTTTGAATAAAACGCTCTGGAAACGTGATGAAGCTGATGAGCTTGTTCAGTAAGGGCTTTCACTAACTTCGGATGGCAGTGGCCAAAATTATTCGTGGAATATCCACTGAGAAAGTCGTAATATCTTTTACCTTCCACATCCCAAACAAAAACGCCTAAAGAAAATTCATTTTTTACAAATACAAACGCTAAAATTAATGTTATACTATGTGTAGAATCAAAGCCATGATAAGGGCCAAAAAAGATTACACTCTAACCCAACTCTACCGTTTCGTCTTTGGGTGTAAAAGTAAAGACGAAACGTTGGTATCTTTTTGACCTTGTTTTGGGTTTAATTTTGGATGCATTCTAGAATTTGGGAAATAAATAGAAACTGCTTTAATGTTTAATTTTAAAAACTATTAGCTTTTTAACTACATACATATTTTGTATGGATATATCTATTAAGAAATTCTTTTGAGGAAATCAGTTATAGAAAGTTACAGAAACGTTAGAAAAAAGAAATTTAGGCAAGAAAACTTTCACGTTTACAAAACAAACCATTACATTACATATGTACATCAAATAACTGTTAGGTAGATATCGTAGATATGTACCTTGTCCTTTAGCTAAGACGACTGGTAGAGGATGATAATTGTGTGCGGCATATTTAGCTTCCTTCTCCATTACTTCTTTAGAGCTGATCCTTCTAACATTTTTTCCAGTTTGGAAAACGGGCCGAACTTTTGAGAACATTTTGCAGTGTTTCCCACGACCAAGTCAATTTTTAACTAGAAGAAAACACCATATTTTGACCAAAATAAGACCAACGTATAGCTCGGTTAATAATAATAATTAATATGTTTTGTTTATATTATTCGTTTAGACTGAAACTAGAATGTTAGTTAAGCCATAGGAACTCGGCCAAGGTTGGAAAGTTATTCACATTTATGACGATACGTTAATTATTACAACTTTATATGTATGTGTATGCCTCACTTATTCAGGGCTTATACTCCATATATGCATGCTAGGTATAAAATTCATTTTGGCTTGGATGAGTTTCCCGACTACAAAGGAAATAAAAAAGCTAAAAACAGTTTCGAATGATCACCATTTTCAGGGTTCCGTACGTCCGAATAAAAAACGGAACCATTATAGGATCATTCGTGTCTGTCTGTCCGTCTGTCACAGTCAATTGGCTCCGAATCTACTGGACCAATTAATTTGAAATTTAGTACATACTCATATGAATTTCTGTGACGTAAACTGGGACGCATAGCGTAAACAAATTAAGTTTGAACGTGGGGGTCATTTTTAGGGAAACAAAAATAATTAAAAAAAAAGTTTTGCAAACTGTACCGTGTTACATTTAAATGAAAGGGTTTATTGTAAGAGTCTCAAATATATTTTTTGTATAATTTTTAAACAAATAGTTTTAAAGTTATTTAAGAAAATAGATGAAAACTGACCATTCCCCCCTTATCTCCGAAAATACTGAACCTAATCTTTTGAAAAAAATACAGAAAATAGTTTTTTACTTATAGGTTACAGGAAAATTAATAAACTCGGACGCATAACGTAAATAAATTAATTTTGAACGTGGGGGTCATTTTTGGGGAAACAAAAAGAAATTAAAAAAAAAAAGTTTTGCAAACTGTACCGTGTTACATATNACCCTATGGAAATAGGGAAAGTAAAAGGCGAGACAGGAAGGAAAAAAGCCTTTTGAGGCTTGAAGGATTAGACATTAAAAGCATAAAGAGAAGTAAAGAGTAAAAGACCTAAACCAAGTTATTATTCGCAAATAATTAGAGATGAGGCATGTGGGATATTTTTATTTTTAAGGAAAGCGAAAATTGAGCCAGGATAGTGTAAAGATTGAAGGTGCATGTTCAACCACCCATCGGACTGATGACCTTGTAATGAAGAAAAACTCAAAATTTTATACACATAACTTTATTAGACAACTATTTTTTTATTGTATACAGATATACAGAATAATCGACGCACATAATGTATCATAATAATAGACCTTTGTGAACTCCATTTCATGTTCAAAATAAAACAACCGAAGGGCCATTTATTGTTACAAACTCTTTTACATACCTTTCACCTGTGTCCAGGAGAAATCCCTTTTTTGTTCCTTAGATCCTTTTACTTTAAAAGGGAATTATCCTTCGAATATATGTACGTAACACATCAGCAAAAATACTTGCGAACGTGCTATTTCATGTGGGGACCCCTGTACACGTTTTAATAAAAGCAAAAGTATTTATCTAATAATCCACTTGTTTAAGTAAACAAAAATGTAGAAATAATTAGGTCCAATAAAACTGGTCTCAACAAGATATAAATGACAAATTTTTTTATTTGGATATGAATATTTTTAAAACTTTATTATCCTGTTGTCAACTCAAGTTACACATCAACAGTTGATTAAATTACATTTACTGCTTGTGGTATTTTGAAGGATTGAGTTTTGTCATGTGGTTTTTCAAGTAAAATATGCAATTCAACACGTAAATATTTAATTTCTAAAAGACCGCAAACTATTTCTTATTTAAAACACTTTAATAGGAAACGAAAATAATACATGCAAAATATTCATCTTAAAAATACAATTACGACTACATAATTTAATTGATGCATTTCAGAATTTCACTGATTAACCATTATTTATAAGTTAAACTGCTGTAAATCTTCTTGGTTAACAACCAACAAGTTGTACATTTTATTATCTTACTTACGATTAGTGATAAAAGCAGCTATGAATGAGGTAAACAAAGTTTTATCGAATGTTTTGCAATATTGAAGAGGCATGACATAGTGATAATAACAATAATTATTAAAGAGGAGTCTAAGAATAAACACAATAAAATTTCTTTTTCATACCTTTGGAGAAACGTACTTATGTACAGAAATACCATTCAAAATATTTACATAACAAGCGCAGTATTTTTAATTACAATTTTCACCGGGTATTGTCATTCAAAACACTTCAGATATAGATAAACGGCTTAAGCAAAGTACATTGAATAAATTTGGTAATACAAAATTGTTTTTAAGATATTTTCGGAACAGAATAATAAACAAATTTTGTGTCCTCACGTATTTGACCTCTTTTTTTAATCATGAGTCCAACTTTTAAACGCTAAACATTTAAAAGAAACGTACAAGATAATGTCATACTTACTGTTGCTTAAAATTAATTTTATTGTAAGAAAAGAAACATTGTCACCCACTGTTTTTTCGTTTAATTTAAACAAAACTTAACTTTTTAAGATTAGTAAAGAATACACACCAATTCCACTTCTTGTACACATTTTACCGTTAAAAATACTGAACATATGAAATGCATATACATTCATACGCCTTGGACTTGTTATTGAGTAAATTTACATGAATATATGTAAACGTACGTAAATGGTTATATACCTAGCCTAATAAATAATTTAAAAACTGCACATATATGAATACAAAATACCTACATACAAATACGTAGTTGCAGATAAACCTTGTAGAAAAAAAAAAAAAGAAAACAAGAAAACCGTAAAAAGTGTTTACAATAAACTTTAAACTAATGACCAGACGATTGTGATGGCAAAACTATGTATAAATTCGAAACACATCAATTTTTAATGATACTTGTAGGTATCCTTGAAACTGTAAGGAAATGGCTTAATGTTATGTAGTTAATGATTTGTTTACATATTTTTGTACCTAGTCAAATTTAAAAGTTTCCATTTTAATTGTAATAGACTATTAAACCACAAATCATTGCAGTTTTAAAACTAGGATTTCTACTGTTTCAGGATTATAGAACGAATTTTTAAATGCACTATAATTAAAAAAAAAACTAGTCCTTAATTTTCTTCAGTAAATACATTTATACATAAAGATGATATCATTCTTATATTTACAAGTAGGTAAATATAATCTTTAAAAGGAATACAAAATTATGTATAGCATTGAGTGAAGTCTCTGTTAAATAAATTGTTATTTTCGTTTGAATTCAAATTTTGAATGTGTGCTTTTTTATTTAGATGTTATTAGATACTTAATTTGCGACAATAATTAATTTTCCTTTTTAGCGCTTGTAAATGTCAAGGACAGATACATGAACGAGAAGTTAAATTGATAATTTTTTTGCACTGTTTTAATTAAAAACAGAAAAATTCTAAAGGGATAGATCTATTAATAAAAAATTAAGGAATTATAAGCAGATACTTACTTTTTTCAAAGCTTTGAGCGCACACAAATTCGAAAAAGAAAAACCAAAAAATTACGGAACTCTCACTTCATTTTGTAACTGTGTAGAATGCTTAATACCGATTTGGATTTATGTTGTAGATATATCACTTTTATCAGTTATTTAATGCATGTGTACTTAACATAGAGGTACATATTTGCTTAAGCTTAAGTATATTAAAGTAATTGTTTACTTTAAGGGATATTTTATCACTTTTACAAAACTAATTGAATAGAGAGCAAACTTTATATCTATAAATCGATCGCTTGTTGTTCGAATTTAATTACTAATAGTAAGCATGTTTACAGCGCAAAACACAGAATGACTACGTTAATTAATTTATATTAATTGTGTAAAGAAAGTAGAAAGTTAGATCACTAAAACAACACCAGCAAGGTTTCTTAACATGAATGTTGGTTGCCTAAAAACCAGGGTTCAAATCCGAGTCTTTTCACTTTCGATGTATTTATGAAAATATTGGTATTTTTTTAATTACATAAAAATGGAAATAAGAAACTAGAAGAAGTCACCAATTTTTGATATGTGGACAAAATGAAATCACAAAGAGAGTCACAAAAAGTATCCAACCCTATGGAAATAGGGAAAGTAAAAGGCGAGACAGGAAGGAAAAAAGCCTTTTGAGGCTTGAAGGATTAGACATTAAAAGCATAAAGAGAAGTAAAAAGTAGAAGACCTAAATTAAGTTATTATTTGCAAATAATTAGAGATAAGGCATGTGGGATATTTTTATTTTTAAGGAAAGCGAAAATTGAGCCAGGATAGAGTAAGGACTGAAGGTGCATGTCCAACCACCCATCGGACTGATGACCTTGTAATGAAGAAAAACTCAAAATGTTATACCATAATTTTATTAGACAACTATTTTTTTATTGTATCAATATATACAGAATAATCGACGCACATAATGTATCATAATAATAGACCTTTGTGAACTCCATTTCATGTTCAAAATAAAACAACCGAAGGGTCATTTATTGTTACAAACTCTTTTACATACCTTTCACCTGTGTCCAGGAGAAATCCCTTTTTTGTTCCTTTTGTGTTTATTCCAAACACGAGAGAACACAACAGATCTATTTACGAAACGAATTAATTGTATCTATAATTATTTTGCAACACTCTCTCAATTCTGTCTCATTAATAATTAGGGGTGGAGCCAGTCGTATTACATCCCTGTGAGTGGATTTGGCCAGCAAACCGTTGTCTCGTAATTTTAGGCACACATCAGTTGCGGTAAAGTTTTCATTACTTTTAATGACAATGGCTTGCATTAGGCCTTTTCCTCTAACTTCATTTACAATAGTTTTTGATAAATTATGGAGTTCTTCCTTTAAAATTTCTCCCAATCTTCTAGCGTTTTCCGGAAGGTTTTCCTCCACGATTACTTTCAAAGCAGCTATAGCGACTCTACAACCCAGGGGATTCCCTCCGTAAGTGGAGCCATGTTCTCCGGGTTTCATACATAACATAATGTCATCGTTGGCTAAAACTGCAGACACCTAAAAAATATATTCGTCGTAAATCGTTAAAAATCTATACTGTTTAATGTTTTTTAACGAACTGGCATAGTTCCTCCAGATAAGGCTTTTCCTAGGCAAACCATATCAGGCTTTACATTTTCGTGATCTACCGCTAAAAGTTTTCCGGTTCTTCCAAGACCTGTTTGAACTTCATCATCAATCCAAAGGACGTTGTATTTTGTACAAAGTTCACGTACTCCCTTCAAGTAACCAGGTGATGGTACAATTATACCTGCTTCTCCCTGAATGGGTTCCACCATAAACGCGCAAATGTGAGGATCATGCTTCAGAAGGTTCTGTAAAAAGCATCTTTTAAAATTAATGCTAAATACTTTAAAAACTGATAAAAATAGTACTTCTAAAGCGTCTAAATCGTTGTAAGGAACCAATAAAAATCCAGGCATAAATGGACCATAACGGTCTTTACAGGACGGATCAGTAGATGATGAAATTGCTGATATTGTCCTTCCCCAATAATTTCCTTTTGCAAATACAATCTTGGCTTGATCGTTGGGGATTCCCTTTTTAGTGTAACCCCATTTTCTTGCCAGTTTACATGCAGTTTCTCCGGATTCTACGCCACTGTTAATTGGAAGAACTTTGTCGAACCCTAAAAGATCTGTTACGTATTCCGCATATTCTCCGAAGGCATCGGTATAGAAAGCCCTTGAAGTTAACGTTAAAATATCTGCTTGTTTCTTAAGGGCTTCTATAATTTTCGGGTGACAGTGGCCCTGATTTACCGCAGAGTATGCACTCAAAAAATCGAAGTATTTGTTGCCTTCTACATCCCATAAGTAAACACCTAAAAAACAGTTAAAATGCACGGCTGTGGTAAATTGATAATGAGGTGGTTATTACTGTAATTACGCTTTTGTTTTTAGTATACATTTTCATTATAAGTACCTTTTCCTCTACAAAGCGCAACCGGAATACTTTCGTAATTATGTGCTCCAAATCGCAATTCTCTTTCAAAAACTTTTTGACTTATTTCGCCAATTTGATTAACGGGTTCCCTTTCCTTAAGTTTGCTAATAGTCTGATAATTTCTTGCTGAAATTGAATCTCTTCCCGGCATTTTATAATAATAGCAAATAACAGCTTTTGATCCACGATTCATAATAGCATTCAGTTTTATAAAACTTTTACCAAAATGTGCCATTTTTAATTACCTTGGACTTTTTAAAAAAAAATGTAATACGGTTCTGCTGATCACACTCGTTAGTTCGCACTCTGTTTACGTATTTGAGAATAATTCTCTGCTGCATTATTTATAGCGACCTTTTAGCTTTGATAACATTTTAAAATACGTTTTACGTAGTTTCAGTTTCTTTACGTATTGATTTATAAAAACGGAATATAATACCTAATAAATGTGGTCATACGAGAGACCATAAATGAGACGAAATTATAGAATTANAATTTATTTAATATTAGTAATAGTAATGATCTGTATTATTTAAACAAATTCATTGATAAAGCAAAGTCATTCATGCTGTGCAACATGCAGACTGTTTGTTCAAATAAACAAATATTATTTAACCACTTGTTCAAAAATAACAATAATACAAGAAGTTCCTTCAAGAATTGCAGATTTAATGGTTTTATGAGTTCTAAAAAAGCTCACGAAGTTACAGTCCTTAACGAAATTTCATGTCTCTTATATGACACTGGGTATGTTACCCATTTTGTAGACATAGGGGATGGCAAAGGCTATTTGAGCTCCCTTTTAGCCCTTAACAATCAAATTCAAGTTCTTGGAATTGATTCTTCACATACTAAAACGCAAAGTTCGGTACACAGAACAAATTTACTTGAAAGAAAATGGAACGGCTTTATTAAAGATCAGACAAAAAGAAAAATGCCAGAAAACAAGAAAAAGACACTTTATAAACAAGTAACCCATTTTGTTACAGAAAATACGGATTTTGAAAAACTTGTTCTGGATAATCTATCAAGTGATACTTCAAAAGTAGGTTTATTGGGATTGCATACATGTGGTAATCTGGGAGCTTCCTCTATTAAAATATTTATTAAAAATCCTAAGATGTCAGCTCTCTGTAACGTATCTTGTTGCTATCATTTTCTAACAGAGAACGATGAAAATAATTTAGAGGAATACTATTTTCCTCTTAGTAAATTTTTAAGCGAAAAGAACTTTAAGTTGGGGCGCAACGCTCGTATGTTAGCTGCACAATCTTTAGAAAGAATTTTACACAAATCAGAAGAGCCCAATACGACAAACTTTTATAGAGCAATTTTACAAGTATTTCTAAAAAAGCACAATTTCAGACATTTTAATATTGGGCGAATAAAAAGTAAATGTTGCAGTTTTGAGGAGTATGCCAGAACAGCGCTTAAGAAAACTAATTTAAATATTTCTGATAATGAACTACGTAGCATGTATGAACTATATGAAGGCGACCAAAATGCTTTTATTGCATTTTATTTATTACGATGTTATTTAGCGCCAGCTATTGAGAGTTTAATATTATTAGACCGACTTATGTATTTAAATGAAAACGGAATTAAAGAGTCTTATTTAGTGCAGCTGTTTGATCCCATTATGTCCCCAAGGTGTTATGGACTCGTTGCATTGAAAAAAATTGGTTGAAATTTTATATATGTACTGTATGGTTTATTTCAAAATTATATTAAAGACATTGTAAAAATAATTTAATAAATAATGTAATTAATAAGAAACTCGGGTGAAAGTTCACTATTATTAGGGAAGCTATAAGAGTTATAAGTGGAGTCAGAAATAAAGAAGTTTTTATAAAAATAAACTGGAAATTTTCTGAAAGACATCGTATATTTCAGTATAAGCAAAACAATGTGAAGTACTCTTCTTATATATCAAAAATAAATCCACAAAGAGTTCTTAAGTACTAAATAACCAACAGCTACGGTTTTATGTACAATGCAATAATAATAAAGCGAACTAAGAATAATTTACAAGTTCCGACTGCATTTAGATATCCGGTTAATAAAAATTATAATACGCTAAGTATGCTCATAAAAAACGATAACAAAATTTATCATTCACGTAAAGATCGTTTAACGATAGGCAGTTATTTTTAGAGTGTTTTTTAAATATTCTGATAATCGGGAATAAAAGAGGAAGTAAAATCTTAATTATTAAGAAGTTAAATAATAATTTTGCATATATTGTCTCGGTATATATAAAATAAACAATAAAATACAGCAAGTAACTACAAAAAAACAATATCACGGATCGATACTACGAAATATTACAACAACATATATTCAAAAACTCATTTTTGTAAATTAATAGTGGCTTTGTCTATGATAAGGGCTATGGGCGCAATGGGTCATAGAATATATGATTATAACCTTATCCTATGTATATTTATTATCTATGATCAGAACCTGAAATTTATTTTATCTAAATTGCTTCGAATAATACAATATATTCAGTATTTCAACATTATTCTTACCGAATTTTACAAAATAACAGTAATGGAATGTGTTTTACAATGAACAAGGATAAGACTGGTTAGTATAAAGTCACTGAATAAATGGGGAAGTATTAACTAGATCTTTTTAGGAAGTGAGGAAAAATGTGATACCAAGGACATTAATGAAGTCTTTGATGATTTATTCTTACTAGAAGACCGATATGTGAAACAAGGTTATCAGGAAGGCTATTGCAAGGGTTCCACTGAGGACAATATTGAAGCTTTCCATTTGGGGTACCACAGAGGTGCTGAGCTAGGGGCTGAACTAGGTTACTATTCTGCAGTTATAGAGGTATATTTAGAACAAATCAAACAAGGTTTCGAATGTCCAGCTTCAGTTAATATTATTAAGAATATTGAAACTTTGAAAGAAGCAATTGATTCTTTTCCAACAAGCAATATTCAATCAGAGGACATTTTGGGATTAGCTGATAGAATAAGAACTTTATTTAAAAAAGTGTGTGCGTTATTAAAACTTAAAATTTCATACCCAGAAGGAGACAAAATGTCATTTTAATTAAGAAATTATATAANAAAGAATTTTTAAAAACGTATTCAACTGATTGTTGAGTGAGCTATTTTCAAATGATCCTTTGACGTTTGTCTGGATTTTTACCTTAATGTGGGGTTTCGTGAGTTGTCTGATTTTTTCCATCATGAGATTGTGGAAATGGGGGTGGTATCTGTATACGGAGCCATCAACGCCTATGGTGACGTCAGGATCGTCCATTTTGTTTAGAAGCGTCGCGATGCCGGCTGAGACCAAGTGCGCAGCCCGCCGTGATATACACTCGCAAATGAATCTAACATTGACGAAGTCCTGCTCCGTCGCGTGTTTAATATCTACAAAGTACAAGGAAAATCAAATCAATATTATGCTATTTTTGTTACTTCAAATATGTAAAACTTACGCAATTCTTCTAAAATTTCCTGACAGTTTTCGTACGAGCCAGGGGGATCGCTTTCTATTTCGGACACGTACTTCGTATAGAACCTGCCCCTGGTGAAAAGTAGCTCTGACCCCTTGCCCCCGAATAAAACACCTTCTTTGGTAAACCTTACTATCGCTAATCGTACTAATTCTCCCATATACATGCCAGAGATCATTTTTTCGTGACTAAAATATCAAGGATTATTTGTTAACAAATAAAATACAAAATGTTTGTTTATTCATAGGTTGACATCTTGCTGGTAATCAGATAAGTGTGAAGACGAGTAGCGTTGAAATTGATTCAACGGAATTTACTGAATTATGCAATTTATTTTAATTTATCTGTAACCGTTACTTCCAATCATCTAATTGAAATGATTGCACAACAAATGCACTATTGACGCTCTGAGTATAAATTGCGTGCACATGTAGATAATATTCTCAAATTGAATGTTGCTACTATTATTTTATCAACAGTATGACGATAAGTATTTTTCTTTTAGGGGGTCAAATGAAGTAACTTACATTTGTTTTCCTGGATTTAGTGAATTTTCATCGACAATCCTGTCGTATTCCGTTCGTAAATTGTCCAGCTTGCCGTCATCCCCAAACGCACCCCATTCCAAATTGATTATAACATTTCCCGAACCATTATCTACGTCATTAAACAGTTCAGCATTTTTCTGTTTTTCTACGTAACAACCGTTGTTTCCTGTTCCTGTTTAAAATAAGGACTTGTGAGGTATTTATTGCGGACGTAAAAATTTATAAACGTATATCATTCGCAAGAACAGTGCAAGAAAAAAAGTTATAAGTATGGTATGAAGATAATATACAGAAAATGATTTAAATAAAAGACCTACCAACTATAATTCCAATTTTCGTATTATGATTTTTCCATGCACATGACATAAGGGTTCCTGTGGTATCATTAAGAATAGCGAATACTTCTATTTTAATGTCCTAGAAAGAACGGAAAAAAAGGCTTGCATGCATAACTAATAATAAGAGTCTATTTTCTATTCTAAAACAAGATGCGAAATAGTCATTCCTAAGAAAAAAGAAAGATATAGGATCGTATTCATAAAGTTGAGTGCTTACTACAGTCTCACATTTTTAAAGTAGCGATTTCATTTCAACTGCATATAAATGTGCGTAGAACTTGAAGCATGTGAGAGTCTACTATCGTTACTTGAAGATACTCGCTTGATGAGTAGCAACTCAAATTTCTATATGCATAAATGAGAGTATTTCTGCTATCACTCCTAAGTATCTATTTTAACAGCTAGGTGTTTATTAACGCGAGTCTGCTACTAATCAGATTCCTATTTTCGAAAATAGCAGAGATACTCTGACTGATGCATATAAAAATTAGAATTCATCCTCATAAGAAAACGGAGTAGATTCTTCCATATTTCAGATTTTACTCACATTCTTATGTATTTCAAATGAACTGTCTACTTTGAAAGTGTGAGTCTACACTAATGGTAAATACCCAACTCTATGCATACCACCCAATGAAAGTGAAAACTGAAGTAACGAAGCTTTCTCTTCTAGTTTAGGTTCCATCACCTAAACTTACCTATAATTATACCCATTTTACAGTTTTTTCTATACCAGGCACACGACATCAGCGTACCTGTTGAATCGTTCAAAATTGCCATGACCGATATATCAATATCCTGTAATATTGTTTGTTTTTACTTAAAAATTTAGTGCTCAATAAAATAATTACTTGCAACAACGTTGTGAGAAGTAACTTTATAACAAATATTTTGTTTTCGCCAATTTGGATCCTCATATTTTACACAATTTGATATTCTTTTTTTTTCTTAATGAATAATTGGAAACAAAACAACCCCATATGGTTGAAGTTTAAATAACGTATTAATAAAAAAAATCAATTCTCATTAATTCATAATTGAATGGATTGAACTAGAAATAATCTGTTTTTGCCTATTTGAATCTACTTCGCATATTTTTATGATTAATTAGAAATAGACTAACATGAATGTATACTTACTCCTCTTCTGGTAATTGCATCCTTTAACATTTGCACCACATCGTTTCCTACTACTCCTGAACACTTAAATCCTTTCGTCCAAGTTTCTAAAATTCCCCGAGTTAGGCCTAGCTGATTGAGGGGAAAACTGAAGGTAAAACCAAGGGGAAGAGTTTCGTGTTGCACCTTTTCTTCTTTAATAAATATTGCTAAACAATCTGCTATATGATCAAAGAGCTGAAAAGCATTTAATGTAAACCATACATAAAAAACTAAATTATATATTAGTAATACCTGTTCTCCAGATCCTAACATAATATGCTGTGGAATTGCGAAAATTTTTGATTTCATCTCAAAATGTTGTTCACTAAGTTCGATAAGTAAAACTCTGAAGTTAGTTCCTCCTAAATCTAAAGCTAAGAATCTTCCATTTTCTAAAAAAAGAAATAAAATCATATTAGGATGGATTCTTTTTTCAAGCAAATAGCCTAAATCAAGTTTTTGTTAAGTATTAATTATTTAAATATTCTGAACTAATTTTTAAAAATAGTAATTAATAAATTTATATGTTTTGTAAGTTCTACTTTTCTTGAAGAAAAAGGCACATTTACAAAATTCAAAATTTGCGCAAATACGAGTACATTATGTAGACACTACTGGTGTATGACTATTGTCATCATAGAAATAATATCTCTATGACTGTCATAGACTAATATGCATCGAACTTCATGCCTAACTTATTTATTAAACCTGCGTTCGTGTAAGTAAAACTTGTGCCGTACGTTTAAAACATTTTCAAAAACTTAATACAAGTGTAAAAATTGTGTGATTTATAAACGTTCTTTTGTATCTAAAGTCTGAAACTATTTGCTGTGAACTGCCATGAATAATATTTAGGCATGCCAGTAAGTTTTAACTCTTAAAATTTAGACATAAATTGGTTCTTTGAAACGGCAGACTGGGTCGACCATTTTGAATTTTTCGTTAAGAACAACCAAAATATTTTTTATTTACTGATATGCGTAGGATAAATTTAACATGGTAAATACGTAACACCTGCTACTATTATTGTTGACTTGATTTCTAGTTAATAGGTACACGAATCAAAATAATAATAGGCTAGGTTAGGTTTAGTTGGAATAGAAGTTTTTTAAAAATATCTTACCGGTTCCATCAGGCAAGTCTTGGACATAGGTAACAAAACTTTTTACGACAGCAGTGGCATGTGTGTCTTTACCTAAACCTCTCTTGATGTCTTCAAGTAATCTTTTCATGTACTCTTTAATTTGTTCATCAGTAAGAATCAGTTCAGCGCATTTGTCCCTAAGCTGTAAAAGAAAAAGGTAAATTATTGATCAGATTATGCTTAACTCTCTGTGGAGTCTTGCTTAAATTGTTTATTAGATACTTATTTAAAGTTTGGGCGATAATATTTCATTCCACGTCTGTGTTTGAGTTAATTTTTTATAATAAACTTGGCCTTGATCTTAATTTTATCCCTAATTTGAAGATCAACAAATTGTATTGTTGTTAAAATTTAAGGACTTTAATACTAAAACTTGTTAATTTCGAGCCTTTTAACTAATAAAAAGTTAATTATTTGTAGTGCGAACACATCCGCACGAGTTTTGTGGTTAAAATAATTTCAGTACTACACTTAAATAAATAATTATTGTAAACGCAAAAGAACATAACTTTGATTTATTATTGACCTTAATTTATAGCGTAATCAAGGGTCCCAGAAAGAAATTAATGTCTACAGTAATAATTGACGTTAATTTATTTTGAACATTTCCACGTATCTTTTTAAGCAAGTAACAAGCACACTCAAAGGTTGAGGTAGGTTGACCATTCATTAAAAAAAAAAATAGAACCCTTTGTTTGAAATTTCAAGCACTTAATATTATACATATATAACTCATCAGGGTTACTTCTGCAAATATGTATAATTAATTAATCGTTAAGTAGTTTTGACCTTTGATCAAAAACTGAATACGCCCATGAAAACTACCTATTAGGTAGAACCGTTTTTTTTTTTTTTTTTCAATAAAATCGTTATCTGCCTCTATTGTCAAAGTTAAATCTTATCATTTTCGCACTTGCCACTAGCCTTTTTGTTTTATATACTTGCAAACAACTTTCCTCTTGATTTTTATTAACTAAAAGTCTCTTATCATTTAATTTTTCTATAAAATTTACAATGGATAACAAGGCTATCGGTTTATTTGCCTTTAATAGTAATTGTAGCTTGGAAATATAACTTTTACGATAAGAGTACAAATATTTTCATTTACATAAACATAAAGGTAGTACACGTAGATTGATAAGCCGTTTTACTTGATAACGCATTAGTAATAAGAGAGCCAATTTCACTGCAGGTATTTTACAAAGCGATAAGCCAAGCAAGGCAAATAAAACTAACGATCGTAATAAAAAAATATTAACGGGGCGTATACTTCTATTTGATAAGAATTTTCTGAAACATTTGTAAATTTAATTAGTCAAGTCATGTGACTAAATGGGGATGAACGTTACATCAGAAGCTGCGCAAATATTAGTAGGCAGTTAATTTTTTACTGAATCTATTCATTAAAAAATTCCCCTCCTGTATATAAATATATGTAGATATAGTCACTTGCAAACTCAATGCAAGTGTATCGCTGTTATAAATTCAAAGAATGCGTTGAATCGCTTTTTTTATTTAGTTTGTAGATACATATTAACGTAATTTACGTCAATTTTACTGACGTGAAGTATCTACACAAGCAATAGAGGCAAAAAAAATCATATTCCAAGAAGGTATGTACACACGTAACACGAACACACCTCCATTCTCATGTGTAAGTGTGCATATTTTTGTATTTAAGTTTGAATACGTTACGTGAGTTTTGGCCTTGATTTTCAACTTTTAACACGCTATTTTACTTTTTTTTATTGCCCATACCGATTTACGTATTCTTGCAGCAACTTTGCATGGGTTTACATTTCATAAAGTGATATGCACACTCATGCAGAAACCTTTTAAACAGTGGCGGTTCATGGGTCACAGTCGTAAAATGAGCTTGGAAAATACAAAAAACAACTTTTGTAATCCTTTTCTTTATGGGTTTATAACGATGGGCAAAGAGTTTAGGCAAATGTAGGCACTGATCTCTTTTTTGAAAAGTATCGCCACTGATTCTAAACATAGAAATTCGGTTTACAATTAAACTGGCGGTGAGTCGTATTCCACTTTCTAACTACCTGTTTAACAATTCCTACCATGTAGGTACATGGGTATGTCGGTTTTTATGGGACATTTATCTAATCTTTTTGTCTATTGCATCAGTCCAAAATCTACTTATGACTAAGCAATAGTTACAAATTCACCATTTTTTTCTTTACTGATTAGATAAAATAAATCTAAATACTTTACAAAATGTGCTGAAACATTGTACATGTCTACGATAAAAATCGAAAGTACTTACATATTGTACTTTCGATGTTTCTTTATTTTATTTACTCATCGCAAAAATGGTGAATTTGTAGCTATTGCTAACGTCATAAGTACCTAGATATTTTATGAGACTTGTCTCGATTGTGATTCTACAAAATAAAAGCACGGAGGCATTTCTTATCTGCTACAAAATATTATCAGGAATATAATTATCTCGATTAGTTCTTTATTATAAAACAATCTATTTAATTCTTGGCTAGGTACTATAAATTGGTTTCTTTTACTCTGGATAAATTGGTTTCTTGTGGCCTTTGTTCGTTCCATTTTTCATTTTCTTTTCCTAATAAAAAAATAGGAAGCTTTTAATAAGTACAGCTTTCACTACCAGTCAACGATCTCAACTTACGATTAACAAAGGTTTCAGGTATTTCTGATAAATCTTTGTTTATTTAAAACTGTAAATATACATATCGCTCTCGAGTATTACGTACCATTACAATTTTTTACGGGCATATTTGGAAAAACCATTATTTTATTAGGTATATAGGTACTACCTAACTGACGGATTTTACCGTGGATCGTGCTCACAGTTTTTGTAATGTGTGGCGTTTTAAACATTAAGTGCACGTGATGTAAATTACTTATTTATCTACCAAATTGAGGAAACGTTACATCACGAATCGCTTTTATCATTATGTGAAATATACCTACAAGAACCTACATAATATGTATGTATCTAATCATACTAAAAATCCTTAACTCTTTTAGGGGGCCACAAAAAAAGTCCCATGTATCTGTCATTTGTAAAAATAATGAGTCTAAAAACCACACGTTTTTTTAATCGTAATTTATTCTCTACTAAAGTCTCACAGACGCACTCGAAAAGATAAAAATAGATGACGTTCACGTGGCAAACGTAGTCGACGACCTTGAATGCAGCTTGTGAATCGCGGGAGCGGTCGATAGCACAATACACACCCCCCTGATCCGATCAACCCTAAACCGGCATAATAACGTTTCGACAACCAATACTCACCATGCCATGCGGCTGAGTGTTTCTCTTAAGGCCCATAGTCACTTATATACGATTGGGTTTCCGCGAATTATGCCAAAAAACCAAGTCACTCACGAAATCTCCTCGATAACGATTTGTTACTAATTATGATTTAATGTGCAATTAGTGCGGATATTATTAATTAGCACACAAACACTGTACTGGATCCTCGTCCAACCGTCGGTCACAACTGTGGCCAAGTTGCGTCGCCCCGTCGGGTATATACGTGGCGGACCCGAGGAACTTATCTCGCGACCCGAAGCGAGACTTTCGCGCTTTCGCGTGTATTTACGTGAACTATTGGAAGCGTGTGTGCGTTCGGCATTGTGACGTAGCCGAAATAGTGAATGAGAAGGTTCTCGTAACCAGAGAAAACTAGACGAGCGAGTGCTTGTGTACGACAGAGAGAGAGAGAGAGAGGACGACGCGAGGGTCAGGCGGACGAGCCCCTGTATCCTACATTCCCATTGGATACTGTCGAAGGTGTGGCAGCCGCACGGTTACGAGGGCTCCGTGCCGAAGACAACGTAAACCTTCACCTCACGACCGGTTATTGCCGGTAAGCGGGAAATTTTAAGAAATATTTCACAACCACACACCTCCGATTAGTGAACCGAAGCAGGGGAAATCTGGCACGAATTCTTGACTCCTCTATTTCATAAGTAGCAATAAGTTTACCTCATTCACTCGGTCGTTATCACTAATAATTATGCTTATCTGTAATTTATTAGAAATTCGATGTTAAATACGAAATGCATGATGAATTCAAACATCTGCTTCACTGATTCCATACATATCACAAATATGTGTGGAATTCCCAGAAAATTAGGGTCAGGGAGTCTCAAAATGTGTTCTTGTTTCAATTAGAATTCCGAAAAAACTTTCAATTGAGGAATTCCATATTAAATAAGAATTTCATGAGTGTTATAGAATTCAAATTTTATCATTAATTTTGCGACTAATTGTTTGTACTACTGACCGATTGGCGCCCAATTGTCGGCTATATGTTTATATTAAAGACACGATTTCCCATGGTCTGATTCGGGGGAGAGGAATGAAAACGGTGAGAATACTTTGCGAAAATGTTTGTGTAATATGATTGGTCAGACGACCCGGGAAACCGAAATTAATTAAATCAGATTGGTTGGAAAAGGTGTGAATGGAATAGGAAGGGATCATATAAAAACTAAAGCGCATGATAAAAAAATTGTTCTTACACAGCCGTCATGAGACTTTTGTTAAACCAGTAAAATAAAAGGGTGGTGTATTATTTTGTTTTGCCGTTTCATGAAGAACTCTTACATTGCTTAATTCCCAGTACAACTAACTTAGAGGCCCTAATGAAGAATTAGGTGAAATTATCTCAAAACGTCTTTGGGTGTCACGGGGATAAAAACTTTTCGAGGAATTCTTAACACCTGTTAAGACTTTCGAAAAAACTTCTCTTACAACTTAGAATTTCGATGTTAAAATAAGAATTTCATGAAGAAATTGCAGAATTCCTAACACCATTTAATCTCCAGCGAAGAATTAAGTGAAGGAGTTTCAAAACGTGTTTGATATTACAGCAATACAGCATTATGGAATCTCAAAATGTTTCAGTAATTCAATAGATAATTTTGTTTTGAACATACGTTTTGAATTCAGAAATATTGCCTAGCGAATTCTTAACACTTCAATACCTCCTCAATTGATTAATATTAAGGAATTCTCTGTTACACACCTTGAGCAAAGAAACGTATTTGGAGATTATTGATTTCAGAGTTCCGGTCTTGAATGAAGAGGAGGTCCTTTTGTAATAAGAAAATATAATATATAATTTCGGTTAAAGCTATTCAGATAGTAAATTAAAAATTGTTCAAAAATGAGGAAGTTAATTTAACAGGAATCTTTGAGTAGTTGCCGATTCGTTTTCGTGTTTACTTAGCGGAGGTCAACCAGTTAATGACATTGGTCGTTTGTGGTTAATTACAGTTTGCAGTGCGTTTTGTACTTTTTATAACTTATGTAAGAGTCGACGATTTAAATGAGTTTTGTTATTTTAGAAAAGAAAAATTGCGAATTGTTTTCCACAATTTCATATAAACATCTGGCTATTATTTATAACATATAAATAACTGAATGATAAGTTAGTCAAGGTTTTGTTATTATGGTGTTTTTGCCATTTCAACATTTATAAGTAGAAAATTCTCTGAAATATTTACTACGTAATTCCTACCGCTTACTCTTAGCCATCAGGGTGGAGATTACTTATGAGAAATATGCTAACATAATTTAGAAAATTTAATAAGTATGTACCAGGTCTCCACTTGACAAAAAGTTTTGTACCTAGTTACTATGAAAGCGAAAAATTAAAATTTCAATTTTAAATTAGGTTACTTATAGACAATTGAAAATTTCCATAGATTTATTTGCAGATGACAATTGTTTCGTCAAACATATCACATGCGTAATGAGTACTTAGTAGCCTCACCTTTTTATAAGAAACCACCCCGTTTGAAAATGATAATAATTTTAAATTTAAATAAAATCTTAGACGTATGAGTCTCTACTCTCCTTAAGTACTGACTGAGATTTTTGTAGGCATACGTGAAAGTATCTGTTTGCACTACTAAGTGTCCACAACAAACTCAAGGAGAAGATGCTTACATGATTTTACTCATTTGGCATAAAGATTAGTAATTGGTAATGTCCCACCCTTTAAAGTAGTCAATTTCGTCTAAAATGAATAATAATATCAAATATGAATAGAATCGCAGACATATGAGTATCTTCTCTCATTAAGCACTGTTTCAGTTTGATTTTAATATTTTATTTAAATATTCTGAACTAATTTTTAAAAATAGTAATTAATAAATTTATATGTTTTGTAAGTTCTACTTTTCTTGAAGAAAAAGGCACATTTACAAAATTCAAAATTTGCGCAAATACGAGTACATTATGTAGACACTACTGGTGTATGACTATTGTCATCATAGAAATAATATCTCTATGACTGTCATAGACTAATATGCATCGAACTTCATGCCTAACTTATTTATTAAACCTGCGTTCGTGTAAGTAAAACTTGTGCCGTACGTTTAAAACATTTTCAAAAACTTAATACAAGTGTAAAAATTGTGTGATTTATAAACGTTCTTTTGTATCTAAAGTCTGAAACTATTTGCTGTGAACTGCCATGAATAATATTTAGGCATGCCAGTAAGTTTTAACTCTTAAAATTTAGACATAAATTGGTTCTTTGAAACGGCAGACTGGGTCGACCATTTTGAATTTTTCGTTAAGAACAACCAAAATATTTTTTATTTACTGATATGCGTAGGATAAATTTAACATGGTAAATACGTAACACCTGCTACTATTATTGTTGACTTGATTTCTAGTTAATAGGTACACGAATCAAAATAATAATAGGCTAGGTTAGGTTTAGTTGGAATAGAAGTTTTTTAAAAATATCTTACCGGTTCCATCAGGCAAGTCTTGGACATAGGTAACAAAACTTTTTACGACAGCAGTGGCATGTGTGTCTTTACCTAAACCTCTCTTGATGTCTTCAAGTAATCTTTTCATGTACTCTTTAATTTGTTCATCAGTAAGAATCAGTTCAGCGCATTTGTCCCTAAGCTGTAAAAGAAAAAGGTAAATTATTGATCAGATTATGCTTAACTCTCTGTGGAGTCTTGCTTAAATTGTTTATTAGGTACTTATTTAAAGTTTGGGCGATAATATTTCATTCCACGTCTGTGTTTGAGTTAATTTTTTATAATAAACTTGGCCTTGATCTTAATTTTATCCCTAATTTGAAGATCAACAAATTGTATTGTTGTTAAAATTTAAGGACTTTAATACTAAAACTTGTTAATTTCGAGCCTTTTAACTAATAAAAAGTTAATTATTTGTAGTGCGAACACATCCGCACGAGTTTTGTGGTTAAAATAATTTCAGTACTACACTTAAATAAATAATTATTGTAAACGCAAAAGAACATAACTTTGATTTATTATTGACCTTAATTTATAGCGTAATCAAGGGTCCCAGAAAGAAATTAATGTCTACAGTAATAATTGACGTTAATTTATTTTGAACATTTCCACGTATCTTTTTAAGCAAGTAACAAGCACACTCAAAGGTTGAGGTAGGTTGACCATTCATTAAAAAAAAAAATAGAACCCTTTGTTTGAAATTTCAAGCACTTAATATTATACATATATAACTCATCAGGGTTACTTCTGCAAATATGTATAATTAATTAATCGTTAAGTAGTTTTGACCTTTGATCAAAAACTGAATACGCCCATGAAAACTACCTATTAGGTAGAACCGTTTTTTTTTTTTTTTTTCAA